ATATAGTCTAACGGTTTTGTATCTGCTACTTTTGTTCTTTGTTTTTCAACCTGAAACATTTAATATATGTAAAAATATACTGTTTTAAAAAATGTTTTAAAATGGTATGCAATGTTTTACTTCATGCAATGTTTTATTTCATGCAATGTTTTATTTCTGTGCCGTCTTCAAGCACACCCCAGTACTTACGCTTGGAGAGGACATGAACTTCGGAAAATACCTTATCTAGCTTAAAACAGCCCATCTTCTCACCGACTAAACCCATTTCAATGAGTTTGTTATACCCTTCTTCGTTCGTCATGAGTGCGTCAATGTTCTCATAGTAAACCACAACTTTGGATTTGACTTCGGAGAAGAATTTGTTGTAGTTGTCAAGGACTGCTTTTGCGAACTGAGGGTAAGACCAATGTTCGACAATAGGTTTTAATGTGGTTACTAAGCCACTTTCACCTTCGGTAAATTCGTATTTCAAAACAAAAGGAGAAAACCTTTCAACAAAGTTGTCGACCTTCTCATAATGTTTACTCTTCATCTCTTGAGGTTTCTTAATGGAATATCCCCATGTCGAATTCATAAGCAATTTGAGTGTCATTGCAAGTTTGGGGTTTGAAGCTTTCCTAATATCATACAGTTGTTGTATGACTTTTCCAACTGTATAGTTCCTTCCTGGGAACTCACCGTCTTCGTTTGGAATTCCAGTTGGAATATATTGGACGAACCTCATGTACGCAGCGTTAAGGTCGACATAGTATATCTTTTCATCTGAGTCGAACTTGTCGCAACCAATGGGTCCAGTTTGGGAAATTCAAGTGAGTCTCTTATCTTCTGAGAAACTTCTCCTGTTATCTCATAAACATCGTCGAAGCAACCTGTTTCATATAAAACCTTCTGACCTAACTCAGATGCTCTCCAATACAATTTGACGTCAATTGGATGTCTCAATGGAAGTTTGTTTATAGCATCTTGAAGTTCTTGCAACCTCATTGGAAGTTCTTCTGGTTCAGGTTGGTATCCGAACAATCCAACTCCTTGTGGAATTGTGTACTTCTTTTGTACTAGAACTTTGTCTGGAACAACTTTTGGTCTTGCTAACAATGAAAAGTTTGTTTCGTCTTTTGGTACAAAAGTTTCTGTCAGCTTGTCATCTGGAATTGGTTCCAACAAACCTTTCTCGAAAAGAATGTTTACAGCTCTGACAATGTTGCACTTGCCTTTTCCGAACAATGGGTTTGTAAGACTTTCGTTCAACATGAAGTGGTTGTGGACAATTACAATCTTCAACCATGGTAAGTCTTTGTCAACAACATAGTCGTCATGTGAAGAACCTTTCTCAGTCGGAATGTTGACTCGGATATTGACATTTGCCAACGGTGCAATTTTGCCAATTGACCTCTGAGAATGTACCTTGTCTTCACACATGACTCAAGATACTTCATCTTCTCATCTGTGAAACAAGACCAGAGTTCCTGAGACATGTAAGAATACAAGGTTCATTGACAATTGTTTCGATTGAATTGTAAATTCCATACCTTGTCAAGTCAATGTCAGACTTATTTATGAACGGGAAGTATCCAGCATGTTGTCTGACTGCTTGAGGGTTAGGTTGGTACCATTCGAACTTGACACTTGCAATTCCTTCAATTGCATTCAAAATGTCTGAGTCGGAGTCAACCATTTGTTCTCTCTTTGTAGTCTTGAAAGCGTCAAGAAGCATTGCAGCTGTTGTGACATTGCCATGTGCATAGTAAATGTGACCGTCCAAATCTGTTATGGTTAGTCTGAGATTGTATCCTTTCTTATTTCCGTCTTGTATGGCAGCAAGTACACCCATGAAGCCTTCTTTGTTCTTTCCTTCGTCAAAGTTTACTGTAAAGGTTCGACCAGATGTAATTTGACTTCTAACTTCACGATACTTCTCATATGCATATCTTGTTCTTTCCATGGGAGCATGTTTGTCTTCACCTTTTCCTTTTTTCCTTCTCAAAGGATGCAATTGTTCGTCATGTTTCCAATAGAATCTGGCAAAGCCGTCGTGTCCTTCAACTTGAGGTTCACTAACATCGAAAGGCATGTCCATAAGACGTTCTTCTTCTAACCTCTCGATCTGTTTGGATAATTGGCGCGCGCGGTTTCTAAGTCCATCTCGTAGCGAAGACCAGACAGTTTGTCATAGACTTTTATTGGCTTTCCCTTCCTATATTTAAACTTCTTCGAAACTTTCCAACCATATCTTTGCAACTCTGCTTTTATTCTAGCAGATTTTCTGTCCATTCTATATGGGGGCATTTTTATAAAAATAAAAAAATATTTTTTTTCTTTACTTTACATAACCACCTGCTGCCATAAGTCTTTGACGCCAACCCATACCAGCTAATGAAGGTTGACTTGGTTTAGTATTGAAACTAAACTTTGGTTTTGGTTTATCTTCCGTTTTTGGTTTCTCTTCTTCTATCGGTTTTTCGTCACTTTTCGGTTCCTCTGACTTTACCTCACCTGCAGGAACAGTTGTGTCGTCAACATCTTCATAAATATCATATGCCATTTGTTTTTGTTTTCCTTTCAACTTTTTGTGTTTGTTGTAAAGTTTAGAATATTTCGACTCTAAGTCAATGAGATGTTCTATAATGAACTGTTGGTCAGTGAAGTAAACTTTTCCATCTGTTGTCTCGAAAGCTCCTTCAGACTTCAATATTTTATTTGTGAGAGTCTGTTTCTTTTTTGAGATACTAGCCGTTCCATTTCTATGAAAAGTGACTTTGTAGTTAGGGTTTGTATTTCCAGACCTGGCACTTTCTATTATTGAATTTTTTCTTCATCTGTAAGTTCTTTGACAGGTTTTGACAATGGTTCTGAACTTTTTGTTTGTGGTGTCAAATCTACCGTTTCAACTTCTTCCGTCATTTCATCTCAGTAAAAAATTTTAGTTTGGTTTGTTTTCAACTGGTTGTTGTTGTTTTTAAGTCGGTCTAAAACTTCCTGAGGTATAGGAAGAACTTGACAAACACGTGGTTGTGTAACTGCTGGAAGCCGACAAATCCATCTTGAACCCATTTGTCTCAATGCTGTATTGTTCATTTCATCTCAGTAAAAAACTTTACATTCCCCACGTTTGAGGCGGTTGAGGTTGGTTGTTTACCCATTGTTGTGCATGGTTATATCCTCTGTTAAAGAATCTTTCACCTTGGTCCATATAGTGTCCTGCTTGGTTATAGTAGTCATTTGCTTTGTTATATAGTTTCCTGCTTCTCTTCCTACATTGTCCATCCATCCTTGAACTTTTCCTCTTGTTTCAGGATTTGGAATAAGATTTGCTGCATCTCGTGCTACATCCCAACCTTTCTGTACAGTTTGTATAATAGGCTGTGCTTTCTCTTTCAGTATACCTAATGTACTCAAAATCTTCCTTCCAACTCCAAATACACCTCTGGCTATTGTTCCCACTGCGGGCAAAAATCTGGATGCAACTCCTGCTAATGCGCCAAATAAACCCATTTCTTATGGGTTAAAAAATGACGAATCCAAACAAGGACCCCTATGTTTCTAAAGCAACAAAAAAGCACTCATGATAAAAATCTTTAGTTCAACACCAAATGCTTGGTTTATGGATATCTTGGAAAACATTCCGAGGTATAGAGAAGATGGACCACCATACTGGCTAATATTTGTCGGTCAAAACACAAGATACTGTGAAGCCATACCATTACAGTCCAAAAATATTTTAGATATCTTAGCAGCTTTGACAATATTCGTTGACAAATACCATCCAACAAAACTGACATCTGACTGTGAAAGTTCTTTCAAATCAGATATGTAAAAAACTATCTGCGTTCAAAAAATGTAAACCAATATTTCATTGTCGACCAAAACCATTCTGCTCTTGGTGTCATTGACAGTTGTATAAAAATCTTAAGAGACTTAAATCAACCACAAGGTGGTGAGGTAGATGAAATGTCATATGACGACAAATACAGACACTTCTCCATGGCAAAGATGAGACAAGTTTTAAATATTTACAATAGCCGTAAACAAAAAGGTTTGGGAAACCACTCCCCCGAAGAAATGAAAAACAACCCCGACTTAGAGAAAGACTATATATTTAATAGTTTAGTCAAAAGAGACAAACAAGAAAGAATGCCAGGCTTCAAACTTAAGAAAGGTGACAAAGTAAAAATAGAAATACCTAAACGCGACCCATATGAAAATACTATTGACTATGACAACAATGGGAACTCGACAGGTACTCACCTTCGTGTTCGTAAAAATAGAAGAAAGTATACAAGAGAATATTATGAAGTTTTAGGCAAACATGGCAAAATGTACAGACTGCAAGCAGAAGATAAAACTACTATTGTCAGACCTCGTTTCAAACTTGTAAGGTTCAAGGTGGTATACTTTCAAAGACAGTTCCTAACAAATATAAGACAACTCCTGACGAATATGCTAAAGAAGTGAAACATGACGACTAAGCAATTCTATACCATGCGTAAACTGTCATGTAAGGTGGCATGTAGTCTTTACTTTGTCCTGTTGTTTGCGTATACCCTGAAACGCGATGTGTATGGCTTCCTCTACCTCAGTGTTACTCCCAGTAACAATTTATAGCAAACTTAACGTCCTCTTTAACATCATATCCTTTACCTTTTGTCATTCCTGACCAATCCCAAAATCTATGACTATGCAAACCTGCTTCAGATGTACTTAAATTTATGTAGTGACTGTGCGCAGGTAAATTTTCACCTGAAATCGTTTTACTTCCACCTGTTTCCTTTGAAGAGTTTGCACAATACAAAAACCTGTCGACTATTTGAGTCCAAGTTAAACCAAGTACTACTTCTGGTCTGGTAGAGTTCATTGACGTGTAAATAGAACCTATAGGATATAGTGTTTGAAGTATTTCTGTCTTTAACGTTTGAAGCTCTGTTTTGTCAGCTTTCTTATCTAACTCATCGTTAACATATGTTTTGTCAGCTTTCTTATCTAACTCATCGTTAACATATGTTTTGTCAGCTTTGTTGTCATATAAATCTTGAGCAGTGAATTTAACTTTGTTTTCATCCTCCATGACAAAAACATTTCTACATCTAGTGTATTTCATCGTTGTTATGTCTTCATCCGATGTTAAACCTTGTGGAAAGTTAGGAGGTTTCCAATTTAATACATCCCCACCAGTTCCATCAGGTTCTTCAACCGTTCCTGCAATATTTTCTATACCAACAGTTGCGAAGAAATCGTGTGTATGGTTCTTATCTGCCTTCTTTTCAAGGCTAACGTTTAAGTCTGTTATTTCAGAAGATGTATGTGTATGTCCAACGGCACTTTTACTGTTTAAGGTTTCTTGTAAGTTTGTAATATTTGCAATGGTATGTGTATGTCCAACGTCACTTTTCCTGTTTAAGGTTTCTTGTAAGTTTGTAATATTTGCAATGGTATGTGTATGTCCAACGTCACTTTTCCTGTTTAAGGTTTCTTGTAAGTTTGTAATATTTGCAATGGTATGTGTATGAGTCTTTTTAGAATATTCGTTTTCAGCTCTTGTCACTTCACTTGACATTTTATTGTCAACATATGTTTTGTCTGCTAGTTCAGGATGAGTATGTTCTTTTGTTGCATAAGCTTTGTCAGCTCTTTCTTCTTCTTTTGCTATTGCATCGTCTACATATGTTTTGTCAGCTTTGTTGTCAACATCTGCTTTCAAAAGAAGTTCATCTATAGGTTTCTCGTTTAAAGTTCTTTTTGTTGGATTTATACAAACAGTATGGTTCTTACTGTCTTGAAATAGAAACTCATCTGTCATTGGGTTTATCGTCAGTTTTAAGTTTCCTTCTTTCAATGACTCAGATATCTTAGAATAGTTTGAAAAGTTTGTTGTGTTCTTATTTAGAGCTTGCAAAATGAGTTGTCGGTTGTGTTTTATTTCTCTCATAGACGCTGTTTCATTTGACATTTTTATTCTAGATAAAATATGCTTCCAATAGAAAAAGAAAATTCAAGAGTTGCTACAACTAAACCATTAGATGAACTTTTTACTAATGTCGGTCAAAAGTTTGAGACAGAGACCGTAAAGCATGAAGGCTATCGTTTTGACTACCCGTTAAGATGGCTAAGAGACCCATCCGTCACAAAAGCTATTGGCTTTCGTAGAATGAAGTTCATTTCAGAAGCCATACATGGTTTCCCATTTACGGTCGCTTTTGAAATTCGATACTATAACAAAGAGAAACGTACGTATGAGAAATTTGAACAGGGAAAACTTTTACAAGTTAGTTTGCTTGTAAACTTAGAAACAACTCTTCAAGCTTTTCAAGAAAAAATAAACGATATCTATCTCGAATATGCAAAACAGTACAACATTGACGAAGGAGAGTACCATCTCGATATTTATATGACAGGAAAAAATGCAACTGTTAAAATCAATAGAATAGAAGACCTTGGAGAAGACGTTTATATTTCTACAAAATATAACAACTTGGCATGGTATAGATTTTTGAGGATGTTAAATCAGCCTGCAGAATATCCAGTACACCCGAACTTTTATGAAGTCGAAAACCCTAATGGAACATATGAAAATGTTTTCGACTCAGATGCTATTATAGTTCATGCTTCATTTTCTGGTGCACAAAACTCTTTTTTATGCTTGGCAAATGACTTTTACGAAAAACCTACAAAGCTATATGAACCACCGAGTGGAAGTATTTCAGACTTTCAAGTATGGTTTACTACAGATGGAAGAAAAAGAATAATTCCATTATACCACGCGTTTTACTTAGAACTTAGTCTCATATACAACTACTATCGAACGGTAAAAATATAATTTTAATACGGTTGAGGTGTTGGATTTGGTTGCCAACTTGACTGTGGTGCAGGTTCAGGCTGTTGTATAACAGGAGCTTGTTCTTCTGGTTCAGGGTCTTTAGGTATAATACCAACGAACTGACCTACTCTTTTACCAATATTTTTGACTCCGTTCCAAATTCCTCTTCCGACAGATTTTATTCCATTCCATATACCTCTTCCAACATTTCGAAAGAAGTTTCCAATACTACTGAAGAAACCCATTTTACTATATGTAAAAATCTAATGTCCGCCTAGTCTCTTACGTTTCCTGTTGAGTTCCATTGCATTCTTTAACTGGAGCTCATACATTCTATTTCTCCTCTGGTAGAAAACATACTCTGGGTCAACTCCTGTGTTCGCGTCATCTGCATAGAGTTGTTTATATCCCACTTCAGGGTTTGTATAAAACTCTTTCCATCTCATATTTGCATACCATGGTGGTAAACCTAACGCAGCGTCATTTGACATGGCAGTTTGCATTTGTACATCTGTTGGCACTTGACCATAGTTTGCCATTGCAGTTTGTATTCTAACTTCATTTGGAATATTCTCTGGGTTTGGTTGTCCAGGTTGCTGTGCATTCGCTAAGTTCTGTGCGTCCATTTAATATTAGATAAAAATATCTCTTACGAGTACATATACTGGACATTTGCAGGCATTGGTTCATCTTCATATTCTCTATATCTTTCTGCCACGTCAAATAAATAAATGACACAATGGAAAAAACCTAAAACAAGTAGTCCTATTTCAAACCACATTTACTTACCAATAAAATTTCTTTATTGTGACACTTTCTTCAGTTTATAGGACCTCTCTCATATTCTATCTTGTCATATCTAAACTCATAGTCATGTATGTCCTCTAACCATCTCATGACACTTTCCAAACCACTTTTATCGGATGTAAAGTAAAAGCATGGATGGTTATGTAAAACGTCTAAAGTTTCTAAAGAGTCTCTCAAAGTCCAGTCTACTTGGTATTGAAAATCCCATGTGTTATAGAACGGCGGGTCCACTATAAAGAAAACATTTTCCTTGTCTTTATATTTTTCATACAACTCTGTCCAATGACATCTCACAAACTCTATACCCTCAATATATTTTTCTATGTCCTCTTTGAAAACATTTGTATAGTTAAGATATAAAACTTTTGACATAAGTGTTTCAATGTCATGAACTCTTATAGCACCACTATATAATAGTCTAGCAGATATACTATCCCAGTCAATATACTCTGCCTTTTTCAAAACCTCTCTGACAGTATTTTTCTTATCTAATGGTATACGTTCCATCTTACCTATAGGTATCTTTTCTTTTAACTCTTTCAATATTTTGTTTGTGTCTGGTATATGTTTGAGACGGTTCATATAGTTGTCGAAGTCATTGCATATAATCTTTGAGTCAGGAAATATTGTATGGCACAAATGAGATATATAGAAACTTCCACCGAACAAGTCTACAAATGTTAGACCATTCGGTAGTTTCTTAAGTTCTCTCAATAGAATATCTTTACATTTACTCTTATTTCCAAAGAAGGGTAACGGTGGTTTTGTAAAATTCATTTATATATAATAATAAAAATGTTTTTTCCTGAAAAGTGACAGAAAAGTGACAAAACATGTACGAAGAAGTCTTGAAAATTCAAGAGGGTAGAAAAGAGGTTAGAAAAGAGGTTATATCTAACCTTCTACCCTAAACATTATTTTTGTCTGATTTTACGAAGAAGTCTTGACAAAACATGAAAACATATATAATTTGTGAAAAGCTCCTGGAAGACCCGTATATAAGAACTTCATTTATACTAAACATCTTCAGGGCTAGAAGGCACGAAGTGCCTGGAAGCCCCACTACCTTTTTTTTTTTTTTTTTTTTTTTTTTCAAGAAGATATTTTTCGGGTTAAATATAACTTTGATCAGATAAATTCCTATTTACATTCTGCGGACAAATGCTTCCAAAATGATACTTTCAGTCTCAAAATCTCAACATCATATCTACGACAGGCAATTATTTTAATTTTATCCATTAAAACCGATTTGGCAATCTATCAAAAGCATGATCCACAAAATCAAACAATTCAGCAAATAATAGATCACTTAAATTATATACGCCAAGAGTTGGATACATTCCAAGAAATTCTCAAAGATATTAATTGGAATTTTGGCTTTGCATTTTCTCCAGATTCCTATAATATGCCTAACTATATTCGCAATGCTTTAACCTATTTTAGATATTTGTCTCTATTATTTGCTAATGAAAAGTATGATATCGTTGGGGCAACCGGTACCATAGAACAAACCATTACAGACTTTATACAAACATTGGACAATGCTTTTCAACCCCCTCCACCTCCGCATTAGCTTAATGAATGAATAAACATCTGATCTAATAAATACCTAATTTTTTAAAACTTTTTTATAGACCAAAATCAATTGATATATTACATCAATTAGAAAAACTTCTCCAAACGAGAAGTTCCGAAAAAATACGTTAATTCTCAAGGAAAAAAAATTCACATGAACAACTTCAATCAGATTTTTCCCAGTAACAAAACGCCAAACTTCCTTTAATTGTGGTGAGAGATTGAAATTTTCTTCATGGTACTTTGACATATATATGCGATTTAAAATCGATATCATTTGTACTTAATAAGAATATATCCAATCGTTCTGTTCTTTCAAAATACAAAGCCCTATAAAGGAAATTGTGCAGCTTAAAATTTGACCGATGCAAATCGTATACCATTTCAATACAATTAATCCTTAATTGTTACATATTTTAGTATCTTACTCTCATAAAAATCTGCAAGACCGTTTTCGAGAAAAATTCATTTTACATACAAGCATTTACTCAGTTAGGCGATTGATCAAACTTTAATTATAAAAGTAATGCAAAACACCGAAATCCTAGATGTAATTAATAGACTCTAAATTTATCGCTGCCCTTAAAACGAGTTTTAACAATATTCACTTAACAAATTGAAATTTCATCAATAAAACAAAAACATAATGAGCTGTAAACAGGGGCATGACGAATTTGTCTACTAAAAACCAATTTATAACCAATATATAACAAAAATTCACGATTAATCCCGCGAATTGCAGCAAATAATTTGAAGTTATTGTTTTACTTTGGTTAAAAAAGTAAACTACATAAAGTTCTTTTTTCCTCGAAAAGCAAACTTTTCGAGAAAGTTTTTACTATCATTTTGAAATTTTGTAATTAAATCGGAAAAGTTATGAAACAATCATATCAATAAGATGTAAAAAGAATAGGTAAATAAGTGATTATAGAAACAATTGTTTTATCCATTTCAAAAAGGTAAAAATTACAATATTTTATTAAAATTTCATGTCTGTTAAGTTTTATATCTTGGGGTATTAAAGATTATCCTTGATAATATGCTTAGCTCGATATTTTTTGATTTTGGTAATTTTCATATAAAATTTGAATCAAGAGTTTCATTTTCGGGTAACAACGACAGAAATGACCTTTTTCCATGGAAAAGGGTCACTTTTGTAGTAACTGTTCGAAAACACTGGTTTTGTATTTCTAAATTTCAGCTATCAACATAAATAAAGATCTGATGTCCAAGAGGTGAGTTGATGATTTGAAAGGAAGTTCTTGAGTTTTTGGGAAATTATCTAAATTATTTCCCAGAAGTTTCTTGAATAACAATATTTTGGATACTGATTCTTTAGCTTGAAGGGCAAGTAAGGGTCTTCAAGAAGTCCAGCGCCTTAAGCACATTTGACATATAGGTGTCAGAAATGCTAGCTTTTATGGAAGGGGGTATACCCAAGTCTACCAGATTTGCCAAATTTTGAGGGGGAAAAACCGAAATTCTGGGCAGATTTTTTATAGGAAAAACGATCGACTTTATGGTGCCATTTCTTTTCAAATTTCCTGAAGCTATAACTTCTGTTGTTACTAGTCAAATAAGGGAATCAACTCATAAATGTCTAGTAGAATGAGAATCTTAGGAAAAATTCTCAATAATTTTCCGAAACATACAATTACAGAAAATCTATTCTGTCAAACGATTGATAGTACAAATATGTTAATTTGTAGGTCAAACAATAGAATATAAATTCTAATAAAATTATCTCGAAA